TCAGGGACTGCGGACTCGAAGGAAAACACACACACACACAAAAAAAAAAAGAAAAAAGAAAAAAAAAAGAGAAAACAGAAAAGACAACATGAAGTAAACATACTCAACTATTGCCACTTTTGAAACACACACACACAACAACAAAAAAAAAAAAAAAAAAAAAAAAAAAAAAAAAAAAAAAAAAAAAAAAAAAAAAAAAAAAAAAAACAGAAAAGACAACACGAAGTTTACATACTCAACTATTATCACTTTTGATGAACAAACCATGATTTTCAATCTGATGAAATGAGATGCACAATGCACATAATAATATCAGGGACTGCACACTCGAAGGAAAACACACACACACACACACACAAAAAAAAAAAAAAAAGAGAAAAGACAGAAAAGACAACACGAAGTTTGCATACTCAACTATCAGGTACACATGATACGAACAAAACTAGTGCAGGGATACACAGCTGTAACCGACACCTGCAATGGCGGGCGACAGATGCTGTAGTGCCCCCCTTGGGAMAAAAAAAAAAAAAAAAAAAACCTACAACGGACGAGAGAAACACGGATGCTGTGCCTCACCCATTATGCATGGCCAAGGACATACTTTCTCTTCTTCTGCTGAACTCGCCACCAACAAGCGACGATGCCAAACGCGCAGCTGGCGATCGCAACTGCAATAGCCGCTCCTGCGGGGACTGCTGTTGAGGTATCCATCTGCGTCTGCTGGACTCTATTCTCCTCTCCGAAACCACCGCCCCGTATGCCATCGAAATTAGGCGTAACAATGGTGTCTTGGGCATTCTGTTCCAGCGTCCGTTTACGGTTCTCTTCCGCGATAATGTCGCCTTCTCCAAGTGGATGGGCATAAAACTTCATCAGGAATTTGTAGACTTCATCCTCAACCCATGTCGCGTCCCAGTCTCCCTGCATCCCAGGAAGGGGTACAGCTCGACACATTGGGCACAGCTCTTTCGACGGCCAGTTTATTTTCGGATATTCGGGATCCCCATTTCCCGACGCTAAGTCCTCTTTGGCAAGTCTCTTGTTTACCTGTAAAGGAGTTAAGAGGAGGTAATAAGCCAACCAAAGCCCACAAAAAAAAAAAAAAGGACGGGCAGAAGTTAAAAGCGAAGAACGTAGTAAAATTTCGGAAACATAAAATAAAAAGACAAGCATGCAAAACAGACATAACCCACTGACAATGACAATCTTTCGGGTATTGTTATCAAAAGCCTACCTCAGAGTGGGGAGGTAGAACTGGAAAGCAATCTGCATCTGCCCACTGGTGCAAGCTATGTGCATGCACCAAGAAAAGAGCATAGTCGTTGCCTTTAAATGGAACAGGAGTGTGCGGCGTTTCCTAAGTGTAAACTCCCTGGTAGTCAGCAGATACGCTTACATGGAGAGGAGAAAGATCTGCACATACGTTAACGTGTGCTTGCATCAAAGAAACAAATGAACCCCATCCACCTCATCAAGGACAGGGTTGATAACATGGCTACGCCGGACCCGGACCCGGACATTTCCGGACATGGAACCGGACCCRTGTCCGSTAGTTTCCGGACGTCCGGAATTCTGGACATTTCCGGACCTCCGGACATGGGGGGATCCGGACGGTCCGGATGTCTGGACAGGTCCGGAAAATGTCCGGACCATTAAAAAAAAAAAAAAAATCTGAAAAAAAAGCATGTTATGCAGAATAACAATGCAAACCACTTTTGCCTCAGAGTCATGTCAGAATTCCTAACCAAACTTGGAGTTAAACGTCAAAAACTATAAAAAGCTTTAAAAAAGACTTAAAAAAGTTTTAAAAACTAATAAAAGGTAATGAATTATTCATAATAAAAAACTTGGGGTTGTCTAATAAATTATTATAGAGAGGGAGCATGTCCGGACCCCCCAAAAAAGCATAAACGGGCCTGAAAAACCCTCAAAACAATTTTGGGGGCTTGGCTCCTCAATGGGGAAGGGTCCTGGACCGTGCTTTTTTTTTTTTTTTTTTTTTCCCTCGAAATTTGGCAGATCCGGACCGTCTGGACCGGACGTCCGGATTCCGGACCAAATCCGGACCGTCCGGACGGCGGTCCGGACGTCCGGATCATAGCCATGGTTGATACACTGCACCGAGCCCCTACACTGCTCCCAGATAGTACTACATCCTACTTAGTACTAGCCTTCTCACCCAGCCCACAGAGAGAAAGCGGCGGAGGGGGGGAGGGGGTAGAGCGAAAGAGAGGTCCCCTCTCCATTTCCCGATCAAACTGATCATCCCCCCCTGCTCCCCAACTGAACACTCTTCTTCTTCAAGTCAGTTCTCGCCTTTGTTTTTCCCCCACAATGATGTGGAACAATCATTACAACTTGCCCCAAGCGTACCGACATTGCTCTCTCTCTCTCTCTCTCTCTCTCTCTCTCTCTCTCTCTCTCTCTCTCTCTCTCTCTCTCTCTCTCTCTCTCTGTGTGTGTGT